GTATGAAATATATTTTTATACAAAATAATGAAAAAATTTGAATAAAAAACTTTGCATATTGTTTCAGCACGATAGGAGTTAATCAGCTGAAATTTAAATTACCAAAAATGAAAAACATTACTTTAAAGCGCAAAAGCAGTAGCCACAAAAATGTTTGATTATTTCATTATACTTCTAGCCCACTGCGCACACATCTAGCTCTCGAAAGTCACAAAAGCACTTTGATAATTTTTCTTCTTCTTTGTGCTGTGACGTATGTCCCTGTACGAAAAAGAACATTCGATTAGAGACATCGGCCCTGCACGAAATACATATATTGCGAAATAAGTTCTGTGCTAATACTTCTGTTCGTCACTGTGTGTATGTGCTAAAATATTTTTCAGTGCTTATAGGCAGCTAATACATATAGCAGTATCCCTTATAACCGAAAAATACTGTATATGATTAAGAACTGAATCTTAAGAGCTTACTTAGTACGTAAAAGTGTTGGGCAATTTTAATAAATTTAGTTAAATGGAAAAACATGTGGTTAATTATTTCCAGAAGAACAAATCTTTGACTGCGACAGCTGAAGGCCACAGATGGTAATATAAATAGACAAAATGTACGAACAATATTTTAAAGTATGTAAATATAAATAAGAATACATGTATGCAGGGGCGCACCCAGGAATATATTTTAGGGGGGGTTATATATTTCTAAAGATATATCACCGGAAAATACTGAAAATTTTCTTCAGATAATACGCTCTTTAAAATATATTTATGCAAGTTTTATGTACAGTATGTAATAAATAAATAAGCGTTTTAAAATTCATAAACTGCACTTTACTTACATAAGATTAACAGAACTCAAACACTTTTAACCGACTTTAAAAAATGGGGTGGTTATCAATTCGCCGGAATACGTAACTGTGGACCACGTGAACCGATTTCAATAATATTTTTTTTGTAGAAAGATGGTACCTCAAGGTTCGGCCCGTAATTTGGTTTAGAGATCCGATGATTGGATCATGAAGAAACTAACGGCACCCCTAAATTTGAATCNCCTGCACGAAATACATATATTGCGAAATAAGTTCTGTGCTAATATTTCTGTTCGTCACTGTGTGTATGTGTTAAAATTTTTGTCAGTGCTTATAGGCAGCTAATACATATAGCAGTATCCCTTATAACCGAAAAATACTGTATATGATTAAGAACTGAATCTTAAGAGCTTACTTAGTACGTAAAAGTGTTGGGCAATTTTAATAAATTTAGTTAAATGGAAAAACACGTGGTTAATTATTTCCAGAAGAACAAATCTTTGACTGCGACAGCTGAAGGCCACAGATGGTAAAATAAATAGACAAAATGTACGAACAATATTTTAAAGTATTTAAATATAAATAAGAATACATGTATGTACTCGTAACAATATACATACATATATACATATGTAAGTGGTTACCGAGCCTCACTAACCGCATGTCTTTCACTTCCAACAAATGTAAAAAGAAGTAGTTAAAAAAAGAGATTTAGCCTATTCGTCAGCCTGCTATGCCGGTTGCTTAAAAAGTAGCAAAAAAATGGATTTTTAATTATCAACTTGTTCTTCACCTATTCGGTTCTCTGCAGAAAACTGAAGTGAATGACTTCCTTGCCTAGCATTGATGGCATTAGACAACGCGAGCATAAATCACAAAGCAGAAACATAGGAAAATACGAACAACAATTCAAATACATGTATATAAGTATATAAGAGCTGCAAATATATAACTAAACCAACTAAAACAAAAATATAAATAAAAACGAATCACAATGACATAAAACACGCTTCTGGCAATAAATTCAATGTGATTCATTACAAATTTCTACGGTTTGGTCAACCACGCATGCGTAACCCAAAATCTCTGCGCTGTCAAACCCACCGACTGACTGCTAACAAAGCAAACTGAGTTGCTATGCGGCTAACTTACAATAAATGGCTGACTGCTTGTGCACGAAACCGTGCGAAATTCATGTGCGCATGCGTAAAAGCCAAGTACAATAAGTATGAGTACTTTAATATAAGTAAAAACAATAAGTTTGTAATGTACATATGTACATCTTAGATGGTCATTTGAACTTATTTATGTACATACTATACATATGTTTGTACTAGATACTAAGTCGGCGGTGTTCAGTGAACGTCATGAAAATAAACTCATTTTCACTGAAACCAAAAGCGGTTTAAAAGCGCGGGAAGTTAAGGAGAAAAAAATGAAAACACACGACATGGTTTTGGCAGTTCTTCGGCTATTAAGTTACATACGTACATATGTTTGCATGGTTATTTCTCTAATACAATACCTGTATAGAAATATGATAGTCAGTGTTTAAAAATAAACTATTTAGATACTAGCTTATTTCAAAGCTTCTTATATTTTGCAAATTTTCATAACACCTTTGATACATTTGCCATTATACTTTTAGCTGCGAAACTGGTTTATTATTTACTTTGTGTATTATAAGCCAAAAAGCAGCGTGAAAAAGCAAAATTAAAAATTAACTGAAAAATCAAATTAGCGACACGCTAATTACAACGCAAAATTAGTCGAGCTTAAAATACTTCAGTCTCAAATAGGCGGGAGTGACGAAAGCATTGCCATAATCTTATTTACGTAGCATTCTGTATATGATATAATTACATTTGCAGCGCATATAAAAAAAAAACAGCTTTTTATGTGGGCAACTTTAATGTTTGCTAAAGCAGCACGAAAATTGAAAATCTCATCATAAAGCGTAATATGAAACCCATAATATGAAACATAAAAATATATAGTAGCAGCATGACGAAAATGGTTAATGACCACAGCTACTATAGCTAGTCTTGCCACAACATGGCATGGTAATCTACAATATGGCTAAGAATTCTATCATTACTTTTAAACATTTTTAGATTGAAGTAAAAAATATGTATTTAATCAAACAATTTTAAAGGGGTTAAGTCGTGTCTCTCCCAACAGTCCCTTCAGCGTTAGTAAATAATGAGCGTCATAAGAGTTTCAACTATTAACAGCGAGAAATACTGTAACACTGTGCTGGGTAACAGGCCTTTATGGCACCGCAGACAAGCATGTCGCCAACAACTGTCTTTGTATGACTCGAACTGTTTTGTGGTCTCAGTCGCTCTTCTTCGAGTTCCATAATTACTGAGTGGGTATACTCAGGCCGCAGTAAGTACTGGGAAGTGGTAGGAGGTCTTAGATACGCCAGGCTCTTCGGCTATCCTTTTCAAAGTAAAGATTTAGCTTCATTGAATAAAACCGAGTGTTATGCTACGACAAATTACGGGATGGCTTTAGCTGACAACATGAAATGCCTTTTCAAGCAAGGTCAAGTCTTTTGTAGCGACTTTCAGCTAAAATATTTGCGATGAAAGTGGTCAAGCTGTTGGTTTTTCTACTAGGAATTTCAGTACATATCGATGGCTGAGTGGAAGATCGACCCATCTTGGCAGCCAGTTCGAAAACTTCAGAATTTTATGGAAGAACGGCTGAAAAAGCCCATTGTGATACCACTGCATGGCCGAAGCCATTTGTTTCTTTCCCTCTCTTAGTAGCACAAAAAGTCGAGAACGTTCGCGAGTTCAAATTGGCTAAACAATCTAGAAAGTATTTGTTGAAGAATTGGTTGAGCGTGTTGGACAGGGTGGGATAATGGCAGAGATAGTGTTCGACGGTCTCCACCTCTTCCTCATCTCTGCAACTGCGAGAAAAATCGTTGGTGGGGTTTCATAGCCTTTTTCCGTGTGTGCCGAACAGGCAGTGTCCGTTGAACACCCCGACTACTTATCTGAGAGAGAAGCGGTCCAGCCGGGCAAGATCTATGGATGGCTTTACATCAATCTTTAGCCAAATTTGCCTGGTAGTATGGCAGGTGGTTTCCGCAGCCCACCTGATATTTACCTCCTGGACGAGTTCCGCCTTTAGTTCCTCCCATTGCCAGCTCATCGGCTAGGTAGTTGCCAGGAATATCCCTTTGCCCTGGGACCCACACAACAGTCAAGGAGCATTTTGATGACAGCAGTTTGAGAGTCTTCCTGCATTCTATGGCTACTGTGGACGTTGTTCCTTTAGAATTGAGTGATTTGATAGCAGGCTGGCTATCAGAATAGATAGCAATAGGCCGCTCTGGAGGGGCGGAGGTTATGAGCCACCGAGCCGCCTCCATTATGGCGTTGAATTCTGCTTGAAAAACGCTACAATGGTCCGGTAAGCGAAAACTTAAAACGAGTTCGTCAGAGTAGATCACGCTACCCAATCTTTTGTTAAGCTTAAAACCATCTGTATAAATGGCCGTAGACCCTGGCTATAGGTCCGTGGCCCCTTACTATTCGTTCCTCTCTGGGATTCTTGTGGAGAATTTATTGTCTAAACAGAGTAGAGGAGTGGTATAATCTATCTGTCGTGAACGTCCTATCTCAGAATACTGTTCAGGAACACTCTATCTTAGCATTCTGTTTAATAACATCCTATCTCAGAATTGGTTCAAAAGCGCTCTATTTCAAACAAAAACACATTGAAAATGTGCTCATATAGGGCACTTTTAAACCAAACTCTGAGATAAAGCGTTTTTGAACCCAATTTTGAGATAGGGCGTTTTTCAATAAAATTCTAGAATATGGCGTTCTTTAACCAAATTCTGAAATAAGGAGTTGTTGAAAAATTTTCCGAGACAAAGCGTTTTCGAACTGGCTGTCGAGATAGGTCGATCTTCCACTCAGCCATCGATATATTCCTAGAAATAGTTTGCTCTTCCACCCTTACTTGTGGGCAATCGAATGTTCATTTATATTTGCATAATACTTGGTAAGGCACCTCAGTGACTCATTTTCACATTTCGACCCCTACAAATGACTTACACCAAAGGCCTACCGAGTGAACATAACAGTTAATTCTTCTTAGGAATTGAAAGTGTGTACGCCTTTTGTGTTTACTTAATTTTATATAAAAATCAACGCTTTAAATCAAAACTTACAATCGCCAATGGGCAAGATCTCGCTGGGTTTGCTGTGTTTATTGCAGTGGCATTGAGTCTGTCAATCAGCGACGTCATCCCACTTAGTGCTGGCGCGCCACTTCTCTTAGCCGCACCGCCTTCAGTTTCTAACCTGTCAGTCAGCATCGTGTCAGTAGTAGCATCGTTTGCAGTCGTCGTTTTTGGCGAGGTGCTCACTAGGCTTGTCGCCGTTCCTACCACACCTTCGGCAATAGTGCTAGCCGCGGCAATGCCATGCCGATTGCGTCGTATCTTTGGTAAAATGAGGCGTACAATGAAGCCATAGTTGGTGGGTGCGCTGAGTATGCGCGTACATGATTTCCTTTTCTCGGCTAAAACGCCGGATGCAAACTCGAGTATGAGACTAGATTCTTTGCCGTCGCTTTCGATGTAATGCTCCTGTTGGACGCTGCAGATTTGCTCGAAATTAGGATTGGTTAGGAAGTTGATATCTGGAAGTGAAGAAGTTAAGTAATTTTTAGTGCAATTTTTGTAAATAAATTCAGAATATTTTGGTAAAATTTTGACAATGATACGTGCTTCATAAACAAAAAGGCTTCTGAAATTTTTTAAACAAATAATGTGCCAATTAAATGTGTCAAGGCTGGTTTCAAATATTAAACTAAAAGTGGCCTCTTGATGCCACTTCTCATTTTGAGAAGTGATCTTGAATATTTTTATAAACTTTATGGAAAAATTTAATTCAGCAGCAAAAATTTGGTCATTGTCACCAAAAATTGAGTCACGAGGTTTAAATAAAAGCAACTTTTTCATTCGAATTAACAAACTCGTTGTCAAGGACGTACATGAAGAGGTGTGGCGGAAAAAAAAGTGGAATTTACTGCAAATTACAAAAAAAAATTACCGAAGATTTGTAATTAATTTTTTTCCCCTTGGTAAAGTTCTTCGTACAAACAAAAATATTTTGGGGGAAATGACCTAATCTAGAAAAACGGTATACAGACGCGTAAAGTCACTGAGTTCTGTAATAGTTGTGCGCCGTATTTAACAATGCAAAGAAATATTATAAATAATCAATATTTTTAGAAATTGGCTCGCCAAACTTCAATGAACCACCGCAGTGTGTTGTGCGGAAGCCTTCCCTACAACACCTGGGGCTGCTCTGTTTAAACTGTCAAACTTAACGTCACTTTATATGTTTATCCGCGAGGAGGCCCTTAAGGCCATCTGTAGGTTCAAGAGAAATGGGTGTTGGAGCGACGCAGAAATAGCTTGAAGCAGAGATTTAGACTTGGATGTCTTTTCAATAGCAACGCATAGTACACCACCTTTGCGTTTTTTGAACATATACTAAAATCTTGAGTTGCGTGAGGCGTAGTGCAGGTTAAACTTCAACACTAAGCCCGGGCTTACACGTTGTAGAATCTAAACTTATAGCTGCAAAATTGACGCATGGTCCGGATCAGGTCTCTATATCGAGAGTAACATATTTGCAATGCTCAAGGCCATGGACACGTTGTGGAAAATACATGGAGAAACAGGAATTTACGTGTCTGTAGTGACAGCAAAGTTGAACTTAAGGCACTGACCAGCCCTCTAGCTACTTCCGAACTGCGTAGTTCGGAGCACTCGAGGAACTTATTTCACACTGGTTACCGGATCACTCGAAATGACATCTGACTATTTGGCTTGAGAACAGAGAGGCAGAAACTTAATAGCGTCAGATAAAATCCTTGCCTACAGACTAATACAAAGACTTAAGTCATATTAATCGAAATAAACATTTTTTCGGTTTGTATTAAACCGAATGTAAAGTTTTTCATAATTTATTACATCCATTCGAATTTTTCGAGGAATACTCTAATAAAACCTCCAGATGTATACATATTTAAAACAGGTTAAAATATTAAACAATAACAGTACAATGGATGGCATACAGTCTGAGTGTTGTTTTCTGCACGCATTATTTTATGCTAGTGCCAAAAAAAATTTACTACATACACATGTGTATGTATGTAAATAAAATTCTTTAGTAATTCACACTTTCCAAAATTAGCACCTTTCAAGCAACTATGTACGTATGTATGCCAAATAATGTAATTATTTATAATATTTGTGAAATTCACTCGTATTTCTTTCTCATGAATTTATTCATTTGATTTTTAATATTGTTGCACAAATTTTTTCCCCCCCCCTTTTTGTAAAGCATGCTCTTTTCTGGGTCATGCAATTTGTGTTATATTTGTTTTTAATTTTTACATACAATTAGCTTCGTTCGTTGACAGCAATTACGATTTAATCGATTGTGAATCAATTATGGCTTGGCAGTGAACGTATATCTATGTACATATAAAATGAGCACGAATGTAGGTTTGTATGTACATATATGTAAAGTTTGTAAATACATATGTATATAATATACATGCATAGGTTCCCTGCGGTGAAAAGCTAACGCGATGGTCTACCAGTTCGAAAATTTCAAACAACTTATGCGATCACCGACATTTGCCTTTGAATTGTAAAAGCCAAAAATAAAACGCAATTAATTGCTTTTCTTATAAATTTCGACTGTGGCGTCATGTGAACACCACCGCTTCTGGTACTGAGATCCCTAGCTGGAATTCGCTTGGAGGTGGTTTAAATTTTTTAAATGTAGTAAGTTAATGAAAATTATTTAAATTTAAATATAAATAGCAAATTTGTAATTCTAATTTTAGTTTAGGAAAACACTAAACTATTACATTTATTATACAATTTTTATAGGGAATTTAAAAAAAATGATATTCAAAATTTAATTAAATGTTCATAAAAAATACGTTAAAAAAAGAAAGAACTTTTCGGGTATCGTGAATTCGAGCCTCGGATCTCTGTAATGGCTGTGTAGTGCTTTGCGATTCTTAGAGCGCCGCACAGTGGTCTGAGAGTGGCAGAAATTTCAAGTTTCGAAATGTCTAGATATGCCTATTAACACTATCAGAGGCTTTTTATGGAGAAAAATGCCAACGTATTCGCACTTCGAAATATGAATTTCTATGGATTTCTGGCAAAGAATTTTTAGGTTTTTTTTAGTTTTTTGAAAATGTAAAAATAGTAAAATTGTATGCTAAATAGCATCTGAAGCACGAAAAAATATGTATGTGCATATGTAGCTTGTCAAGCGGGTTGGGTAATGTAATCAGGAGGATCCTCAGAAAGAAATTTTCTTTAGATATAATAAAAAACAAGTAAGAAAGTCTAAGTTCGGGCGGAGCCGAACATTAAATACCCGGCGCAAGTATTAAATATGTTTTTTCACCTTTCCGAAACCTTCCGCTAGATGGTAAGCCGGGGTGTATCAATTTTGAGTAAATTAGCGTCCTTCAATTTCGAAATATTGAAGTTTCAAGCATTTCTGAAATTTACCGTTATATGAGAAGCGGCCGTTATTTTAGTCCGATTTCAATAATTTTCAACGTTTTGCTTATATGTGGCAAGCACAATAACCACACCGAGTTTGGTACAAATTGGTAGAACGGTTACCGATATACATATATGTGATCATAAGTGGGCGGTGCCATGCCCATTTTCCAAAATTTTACCATAAACGTATTTCTTGGTAAAGAATTGTTGCAAGTATCAATTTTGAATAAATTAGCTTCAATATTTACTGATTTATCGAAGATTTTGTATTTCTCTAAATTACCGTTATATGGGATGTGGGCGTGGTTATTGTCCGATTTTAAAAAGTTTCGGCGATTTTTTATGCTGTACCAAGGCCAACAACTGTGCCAAGTTTGGAAGAAATTGGTGCAGCGGTTACCAAGATATACACATGTAACCATAAGTGGGCGTGGCTACGCCCATTTTCCAAAAATTTATAATATTCTTATTTTTCGTCTAAAAATTATTGTAAATATCAATTTTGAGTGAATAATCTTCAGTAGTTACTAAAATATCGCAGTTTTCGTATTTCTGGAAATTACCGTTATATGGGAAGTGGGCGTGGTTATAGTCCGATTTCGCCCATTTTCAATACCAACCTACCTTGGATTAAGGGAAACCTACATACCAAATTTCGTTGAGATATCTCAATTTTTGCTCGAGTTATCGTGTACACGGACAGACGGACAGACGGACAGACGGACGGACAGACAGACATGGCTTAATCGATTTCTTTTTTCATCCTGATCATTTATGTATACATTTGTCTATATCTATCTCGATTCGTTTTGGCTGTTACAAACAACCGTTATGTGAACAAAATTAATATACCCTTGTGCACAAGTGCGCTCGGGTATAAAAATGTGTAAATTAACGTGGAGAGACTTAGTAACGTATCAAAACAATAATAAAAACGGCCTTCGTTTACACAGAAAATAAATCTTAACGCCAAAAAGAGAGATACTACAGATTTTGTCTAGCAGTGCTTAAAGGAAGGTAGATACATATTTTTGCACCGGTTTGCAAAAGCTCGTTTATATGTATTTATTGTGTGTGTACATTATGGTGGGCCAAAAATGCATGTAAAAAAGTCAAGTCCGAATTTTTATGCTCTCACTTCCTAGAATTGTTTTGTACCCAAAAAATATACCCCTTTTTCTTTATTTTAAAATCAAAAAATATTTAGAGGTCGCTCAAAGCACAAGTTTTCCATGTATTTTATATGGGGAAAACCCCATTTTCCGTAGAAATGCTATCGAATTCTTCAAAATCAATATTTTTCGATCAGAAAACTATGCTTCTTTTCAGGAGACTCCCAATAATTTATTTAACAATTTTTTCATAGTAACCATATTTTATAGGTCCGTCAAAAGCCCCAGAAAATGCAATGTGGGATAAATAAAAAATATTTAGTATTAAATAATGGTTAAACAAACAATTGGGTATTGTTATTGGAAGTCTCCTGAAGAGAACAAGATCGAAAAATATTGATTTTCAAGAATTCTATACCTTTCATACGAATACATAGAAAACTTTGAGCGCTTTGTGCGACATCTATATATTTTTTGAATTAAAAATAAAAAATAGGGGTATATTTTTTCCGATATAGAACAATCCTAAGAGGTGAGAGCATCAAAATTCCGTCTTTACTCATTTTGGACCACCCTATTGTACGTGCTTATGTATGCACAATACTGCTCCCCAGGAAGCTGATTTTTTCCCAGAAGGGAGTGTGTGTATCTGTGGCAAAAAATGCGGAAGGGCTTGGCGTTGAATTCATTATTTACAAAACCTATTAGCATATACATATGTACATACATACATACATAGCATTTATATGCACATACATACATACGTGCTTGTATGTATTTATAATAATTCAATTTACACTTTTCTTGAGCATTGCTACTTTGAAAGTCTATAAATTTACACCTTTTTTGGGAGGAGTTTTTGTTTATTTTTCCATTGGCGCTTTATAGCTAAATGTAGTAATTTGTTTCATAGAGGCTCCTTTAGTTAAATTATTTTTAAATTCACTTTCATGGTAATACGACGACTCAAAAGACTGCAT